CAACTATACCCTTCAATAGGAACTCGAACAGCTCAAATCCAGAAGATTCTGAAAATGGCCTGGCTCCCTAGATGAACCCTGGGAAGACTGGGAAGCGAAGAGGTGGAAACAGCTGGGAGGTCTTGAACTTTTAAGTAAACAAAAGGGCACATTCAAGCAGCAGAAGGACAATGTGCATCCTCTGCTCTCGCTTCGCAGACCTTCATTTTTAAGGTGGCCTGAACAGAGTGTTTTAGGGCAGCAAACCCTGGTCTCAGGCCACCTTGAATTTAGCTTGAAAAACTGTCTGTTTTAACAAAAGCCTTGTCACAGAGACACCTCAGGACCCTTGCTTCGCATATCTTCATTTCTGAGGTGGCCTGAACATATAGTTTCGGGCAGCGAGCCTCTGGTCCCAGGCCACCTCGAATTTTGGTGCATTGTTTGGCTTTTGCTTCATCTGAATGTGGATGGGAATTATCTATGTGTGAAGTCGGTCGGGGGTCGGGGGGGGTGGCCCGAGAAAGGTATACGTAAACTCTTGGAGGTGATGTTTTAGTGATTTTGGAGCGGGTGGTGATGCACGAGTGCATTTTTTTGCTTTTGCATGGTTACCTATGTGTGGGCAGAACAAGACATGAAGCAGATTTGACACGCGGCCGCAAGTGGCTGCGCGAGCTCATTTGATTGCTTCGACGCGCAGTTGTCGAGAAAGGGAAGCGCTGGCTTTCGTTTTGCAGCTTCTCAGGAATATATATATATATATATCAATTTATCATGCATCAGCACACATCAGAACAGCTCCAAGATGTTCACTTTCAAGAATGCCGGTGTTCACATCTCGAGGAAGAAAGGATGTCTTCCAACTTTGAGGGCAAGACAAAAGGGTACTCCCAAGATGTCCAGTTTAGAGGGAAGGGAGAGAGAAAGAGAGAGAGAGTGAGAGAGAGAGAGAGAGGGAGAGTGAGAGAGAGAGAGAGAGGGAGAGTGAGAGAGAGAGAGAGAGTGAGAGAGGTGCTCCCAGCTACGAGCCCAGCGTCCAAGGACACACCAAACGAGAAAAGGAAAGAGACGAAGGTGTTCCCAGCTACCACTCAAGCGTCTCTGTGTTTATTTTTTTGGGTGGAGGCAATATGTACATCATCTACACCGACATCCTCTGTCTTTCTTTCTTATTTTTCTTTCTCTCTCTCTCTCTCATGTTCTGCCCGCCGAGGCCAACCCTGCGGTTGGTATTTGGAGGTGGACCCCGTCCCCGTGGGCCCTGCCGATTATCGCGTGGTGGTGTCGAAACGAGCGAAGCCGGCGAAGCGGGAGGAGGCCGAAGCGCAAGCGCCTGGGGAATGGTTCATCGAGCTGGCAGAGCTGAAAAATGGTGCCTCCCCACTGTGACCTGAGGTCCAAATTGAAGTCCTTTTTTCAATTTTTTTTCTGCATTCTTTTCCATCGTTTTTTTTGGATGAGTTTCATAGCTGCGCTGGGGTCCATGGCAGCCCACCCCAACTTAGAACTCCCGGTCACAGTCACAGCCCACCCATGGCAGGAAACCAATGCATGGGACTTTCTCCAGGGGCTTTGGTTGGTCCTTGGATTTGCTGAAGGAAGTGGGCAAGAATAGAATATCTTCCTCCATAAAAGGCTAAGCAAAACCATTCTTCTGCTAGCTCCCAGCTTTGCGCTGTCTGACAGGTACAGGCTTCGTGCAGCGAGTGGTGCGGTGCGTGGTTGGAGTTTGTATCTACGTCGGAGTTTATATTTGGCGGAGGCGCCGGAAGATGGTGAGGAGCTGCCCGAGTCGGTGTTTCGAACGGCGGACTCCAGGTATGTCACGGTGCATCCCAGCCAAGAAAGCCTGTGGCTTTTAGAAGTGCAGCCACAGCTGACTTGGCCCAGCACCGCTTCTCCCGGAACAGCCGCATCTGCCCTTCCCAAATCTGCACGCAGCACGCAGGGCTCGCACCGGAACAGCCGCACCTACGAGGTGGTGCTGCGGAACTTCTCGGGGAAACGCTTGACGCTGCAGGGCGACGGCCCCCGTGCGCTGCGCCGGACGTATGGGCAGATGTTGAAGCTCCAGCAGGAGCTGGCTGAAGAGGAGGTGAAGGGGGCTGAGGTCCAAAGAAAGGCCGTGGAGATGGGGTGTATGGATGAGGACAGGTGCGTCGTGTATGTCGTCGTGTTGTTTTCTGGTGTCCTATCACATCCCTCTTTTTTGGGGAGTGAAGGACCTCCCCTGAGTGCCTGTGACCTCTCCGTCCTCCCTCCCTCCAGGAGCCTCGATCTCCACAGATCCAGGTGCGCTTCGGGTGGGCGCCGAAGACCGGCGACCTCCTGGAGTTTACAGCGACCTATTTGGTGCCAGACACCCAGCTGGGCCTCTCCATCCACGCGCATGCCAACTCGGCCTCGTCGATGCAAAGCTTTGTGAAGGCAAGACTATATGTGGGAAGCATGGGAAGCGTAGATGGATGTGTAGGACTGTGAAATGCTCAAAATTGATCCAACTTGGGTACTTTGATTGTAGTGACATTATAGGGCAAGTAACTAGCAGTTACATCAATCTCCTGATCAATTCCGAACACCACGCAGCACGCTTTAAACCGCCCGGGGCCGGCCTTGCGGCAGTATGACTGGGGTTCGTGGGCAGGTGCATGGGGAGTTGGATTTGGAGGCCGAGTCGGTCATGGAAGAGGTCCCCCGCGCGCGTGTCGCGCCGCCCAGCGCCTACCTGCACGGCCCTGCGCTCGCGGTCTATGCGAGGCCCAATGCGAGTGAGGCGCTTGGCCGTCTCTCAGTGGGCGATGAGGTGATGTGTGGCGGGCGCCAAGGGCGTTGGAGGAAGATCACGTACCCCCTGGAAGGTTGGGTTCAGGCTGAAACCCGCGATGGACGAGCGATTCTCCAGCCGCTCTTCGGCCTGCGACCTCACTTGCGTCAGGTCGTCACCCTCCGGCGTCGCCTCCAGGACCAGCGGCGGCCTCCGGTCTGCCTGGAGCTGTTGGAGCCCAGCCGAGAGGGGGAGAAAGCCTACTTCCGCGCGCGCGCGGGCGAAGCCGCACGGCTCCTGCGGGAGTTGGCGTGGCTCGAAGGTCGAGGCCCGGACGACGGGCGCCGTGTGGCAGCCAGTGTGAAGGTGGAGATGTGCGGGAAGCCCCGGCAAACAGTGCTGGGGATCTTCTAGCGAAAAGAGATGCAGAGCAAGCACAAGGGTGGGGGGGAGGACATGACCATGGACGACTTGGGTCCTTGGTCGCTTGCTCTTCGCGTACTGTTGAGGCTGATGGGGGGAAGTTCCCATGAGATGGCAAGACCTAGGCCCCCAGAGCATCCGGATGAGCCCTAATCCAGTGTCTACAGGATGGATCCAAGTGGCTCTCATCAAGATTTTGTCAACTGTATTGACGCAGTGGCTGTTAAGATCCAACCAGACACCACAGGCTTGCGGCCACAGGTTTACTTCGGGGCTTTCTTCACCATGAGTGTCATTTATCCTGCAGTCAGTCGTCTTTGGGGCCAACTGGCCAACACCTGTTTGCATTCAGTTTTAATATCTTTTGATAACAGGTATATAAACATCTCAAGGTACCGCTTGGCTCACCGCTCAAGCCACGCGGACATACCCTGGGAGCGTGTCAACGAGCCTCGGGCCAAGGCATCCCTCACCCGAAGCTGTTTCACAACGCCATGAACGTCGTTATCCGGAGGCGGCATGTGAATGTTGGGGTCATGGGGTTCTCGAAAGTCTTTGCCAGCATTTGCCAGCAGTTTCAAAAGCATAGCTCTTGGGCCCCCAAATGAGTGGACATGAGTCACCCCGCTATCCTTCAATACATTCAAAAGGTACCGCCGGTGTATGGCTCTTCCTTTGCATCAGGCGCCCAGTTTTGGAAGACAACTGATGAGCTGGGCGGGAGAAATTCGATCATTTTCGATCATTAAAGGGATCTTGTAGATCCAGAAGATTCCTTCCCAGTGGAGAACTGTTGGGAATGCTTTGGGAATGCTTTGGGATAGACCAAGGACCGTCGAACTTTCAGAGATAAACCAAGCTTGAAACAGATGCGTTAAACAGCGGAATGCCATTTCTACGCCACGCGACATTGTTCGATCTGAGCATTCACCACACACTACGGCATCTCGGCTGGTTCAGAGACACCACAGTCACTCCTGACGAGGTCTTCCCCCCCCCAGTCACCACCCAGTCACCACCGTGGCGCGAAGCACAGAAAGAAAAAAGGCCGTTGTAGACGAAATCGTCTGGATCTAAGAAGGGTCTCAACTGGTCAATTGGAGCGTTTCTTCATCCCGTTTGGGGTGAATGGACGAAAGGGCACCCCTGTTCGGGGCCATTCGTCACCCTTTTCGGGGATCTCTCTGGTCTAGACTGCGGGCCGCAGGGTACAGGACTTCTCCCCGAAGCAGTTGGCCACAGTCTTGGATGCGCCAGGGCCCCGAAAACGGAAGGAGCAGAGTGCCTCGTGCTTTTGGGAGGATCGGCCTCGTCTCCCAAGCAACCCAAGGAAGAGACTTGGTTGGAATCCTAGGGTATATAGAGGTCCAGAAGTCGTGTGGCGATTTATGCAAAGATGACCCTGCATATTGGGTGACCATGAAGAAACCAGCCAGTCATGTTACGGCCATGCAAAGGGCCATATCCACCCAGGCACTTGAGCGCGACACATGCTTGTAGCTAACAGGGTCATCCAAAGGCAACCTTGCAAGAAGCTGGTACCTATCAGATCCTATCAGCTGGTATGGGCTGCTTTGGTTCCCCAAACCTGGGACTCCCGAGACCGACGTTTATATCGAGCGAACGTGACAATGTGACGCTCCGCTGTCGGACACGGTTGGGATTTTCAAGGGTGTGAAGATCACTGTGATCCACTGTGATCTATCGATAGATGTATTTCATCAGTTGTGTGTGCAGGGTATTGTTGCTCATGAAAAGATGAAAAGACTCCTCGGCTTCCCCTGGTCCTATACAATGCTTGATCAAAATTGCTTCGTGGGTGAGAAGGGATTCTAATTCCACCCCATTGGATCTTGTTTCGAAAATGCCACCACCTTTGGAAGCCACGCCCCCGGTGTGTCCACGGCCTGGGCGGCCTCCAGGTACGCCCGCTTTCCGCCGGGCGCGGGCGCGGCGGCTGCGGCCGCTTCATCGGCGGGCGAGAAGGGCGAGACGTCGGCGGCGGTGAAGCTTTTGACGGCCACCCGGTGGAGTGGAGGGAGAGTTGGCTGGAGGCGGCCGGCAGAGCCCGGACAGAAACGGCTTGCCATAGATGGCAAGCTACATGTCTATGCCACTGTCCAAGTATGTTGTAGTTGGTGACAGGGGAGAGCGTGGCTCAAACATGGTGTGTCCAAATTGGTGACATCATCGAAAGTCTGTAGGTTCCCAAGTGCTCTCTTCTGAGCCTTCTCGCCAGTTGAGGTGCAAAAGGACACCCTTTAGATGAGAGGTTCGAAACGGTTGTCGCAAGGGAGGCGTTTGTTTGGGGTGTTTCCGAGCTCATTTTGCTCAAGTCGAAGCACCACCCTGGGGTTGGCTGCTTGACAGTTGATGCTTCCCTGCTGGCCACACGCGGCCGCGCGGGTGTCCAACGTGGAATGGAGTCCCTAAAAACCGTTCTATACCGCTGACCCCCTCGTTTTGGAATGGTTCATGGAACCACCGCTTTGAGGGCGACCCCCTTCCCAGATCTTCCCAGAGGAAACCTGGGTTTGTTGCTTTCCCGTGGTGTTGGACTTTGAGGGTCTGTGTGTCTTCGGATTTGGGTGTGAGTCCAAACCCAGCAACATCCAGCAAACCCTGGTTGACCTTACAAAAATGAAGAGATTCCTCTATATAAGATCCTGGAGTCTCAAAGTACATCAGAAGATGGGTACAAGTACACCTGTTTTTATAGGGTCATGTCCCATTTTCTAAGGTACTTTGGAGAATCCAGGATCATACTAAGATCTATAACGTCTATAAGGGGATGCCAACCTACCCATGCTTTGTTACCGGTGGATGGGTCGAGACCGACCCGAATCGACCCAGGTCATTGCCTGCCAGATCGATGCCTTTCCGCCGGAGGACGAGCCGAAGTTCGACCTCTCCGGAGGGTCTGGGTCGGATCCCCAGCGCCCAAGCTGGAACTAGATGATCCTGGACCCGACTGACCCAGTACCTTAGAAATGGATGAACATGGCCCTATAAAAAACAGGTATACGGCTCTACCCATTTTCTGAAGTATACTCTGAGACTCCAGGATACTCCAGGTATACGTCAATGATTTGGCGAAGAACAGCACCGTTCGGCCTTCACACCCAGTGAGTCGTCATCCGCGTACGACTCTGGGCCCCGTACCACGTCGAAGCTCCAAATGGGACGGACGTTTCTGGTGTTGGCCGGTGGTGGTGGAGCTGGGCGAAGCAGGTCCGGTCCCGCGTCGACCGGGCGAACACATCTCACCGGGCCGAAGCTTCGGAAGGTGGTGATGGCGGAGGCGTTCCGCTCGTAGCTTGGGAGGTTTGGGGTGACACTGCCGATCCTTCAGGCCACCCCGGCATATTTACACTCCAGACACTCCATGTATGGGATATTTACATTGACCTCTTTTCAACCATCCCACTGTAGGAATATGCCAGTCCCATTGGTCGTGTGTGGGAACTGGTCAATCTCGGGCACCGAATCTTCAGCTCAATTTCAGAGGACCTCTTCAGCGTGGCGAAGTCTGCTGCCATTTGGTGCCCCAGCCGCCTGGCAAACACGTGGTGATCTGATCGTGGGACAGCATCAGTGATTTCCAAGTTGGTGCCAGGAGTCAGATGGAGTTGGGCCAGGAGTCAGATGGAGTTGGGTGGTGTGGCTCGTGTCATTTAGGGCGGGGCTGTGGATGTGACGACCGGGCACCTCTCGGTGCTGCCTCCCAGTTCAGCATCCCCTGCTGGAACTGGGTCAAGATCCACATGGTTTGCTTCGTTTCGGACAGGGTTTCGTTGCCAACCCCAAACAGATGGTGCTGTTCAGCGTTTTTCCAAAGCGGCACCCGAAGTGCCCTTGCAGTTGTGAATTGCCTGGCGAACTGTTTCAAGTGTTTGAAGTAAGGCCATGAGATGCCATGAGTATAGAGAGCTTTTTCTCCAGAAGTGGAGGAACTGGTTTAGTGCAGGGTTTTCACCTAAACTCCCTCGAAGGAGGGAGGGGCCCACCGAACGGTGGGGGTCAGCCGAAGCGAGGGACCCACTGGGGAGGCTCCGGAAACGCTGGGGATGGCGTTTTTCTGCCGAGTTTGGGGAGTGTTCAATCCACCCAATATCCCGACTGGAAGGGCCAAATGGAGTGTTTGTGCAAACTTTCTACCTTTCTTGATTGGATTTCAGACCCTCAGCAGCCTTAGCATTTTTTGGAGAGCCTGGAGTCTAGGATTGGTGGTTTGTGAGACCGTGTGAAAAGGGCGGGGTGTTGTTTTTCGTTTGAAGTGATGTATCATCCAAGGACACGCGCAATTCTGGGAGGCATGCCTGAAGAGTGGGGGACGCCCAGTCTTTTCGAGCCGGAGGGCATGGGCAGGCGACGCGACGATGTGATGAGTTTTGACCTTTTAAAGAATGAGACGCTGCAGCCCAATGAGTGTTAGTCTGCGTTTTTTGGCGAGATTGGGTTGGTGTCCTTTGCCCCCAGATTGGTGGATCTATGGACCAAGTTCTGAGGGAGGTAGGCGTGAGGTGGGTCTGGCGGGCAACGCAGCCATTCTGGCAGAAGCGTCTGCAGTACTTGGTGTCAACCTGAGAGAGGACTTTTGTTGAACGCTTTGCCTCCACATTAGGCTTTTTGTCAGGTCAGCCAGGAGTTCCCACTGGGAGTGGTTACTGATTGTCGGCCCTAGGTGCCCATTTTCCTGCACTCACTTGCGGGTTTTTAAACATCCTCCCTTTGAACTCATGGAGCGGAAGATTTGGAACTGCGCTCCGATGTAAATGTTGCGATTTGGTTTTCAATCTGCTTAAAAAAGCGCTGAAATAGAGGAAGCTTGCTGTGCTCCTTCCCTGATTTGACTGATTTGACTGATTTCTTGCACTTCGAGTTTGACCGGTGGGGTTGGCACAAGGAAGCCTGGAGGTTGCTGTGAGGACCCTTCCGTGGCCTTCATTGCAACATCTTTTCTAGCCTCCATGTCCTGCGGCTTTTTCGCTCTATATTGCCTCGAAGATTTTCGGCAAGCTCATCTTATATACTTAGAGTTGGGGCTTCTGGTAGACAGATCAACAAGATCAACACGCACCTCAGGTCGGTCCTACCCAACAGTTGAATTGATTTGAGTTCCGTTTTTCACGCTTGTACCTTTGAGGGAACTTCCTCCAGTCATTTGTGGTCCATGCAGCCCCCACTTGTGTCTTATCTTCAGCCAAACGCTCAGGAGGATCTACTTATGACTTGGTTGGGGGATGTGGGCTCAATTGGGCATCCGAGCCCACTTGGAAATTCGGGTTCAGATCGACAAGTTAATCTGTAGATGCAAGCCTGGCAGTATCTGGCAGTCCCCGAGCACCTTCAAACGCTTGCTTTTGGGATGTGAAGACCATCATGAGCCTAGAATTTCAATACATTCCAGTGAGATCAGCTTCCCTGAACCGCCCCAACTCCCCAACTTAAAGACCCTTCTCTGCCCACATGCAGGATAAGGGGTGTTCAGCAAGAAAGAGTTTCTAAGATCGGAGTGTCCAGTATAACCGCCCGACTCCTGCGGGTGGTCTCAGCCTACATCTCAGCCCGGGTCTTCTGCCCAGGTGCTCGGAAGCGCCCCCAGAGCTTCCCACCGCGCGCGGCTGTGGAGCTGTCACAGGCGTCCAGACGGGGGGGATGCAGGGGAGATGAAGGAGTCGAGGTAGCAGGGCTTCAAAAGGGGGTGCTATTTCAATGAAGGATGGGGCCCAGAGCATCCACTCACTGGATGGGTTGAACATCAACTGCATATGGGCTGCTGTGTGTGTGTGTGTTTCTTTTAAGAGAGCCCTTAGACCTGCCAATCTTTGGGGCCAAACCATGCCAAAGCCCCGAACCAAAGCCATTTCCATTCAAGAACTTGGAGTCTCTTCTTGCTCCTTGAATGCGGTCCAGGGTTGGTGACGGATTTTAAGTCGGAGGAGTCTGGTGGATGAGTGAAGACCATGGGTGCAGCTTGATGTCCACGGGTCTGAAACATACTAAGTGCATCTAAGTGCTTCTGTGAGGGTTCAACTGCAACTTGATTTAACTTGTATGCGGGGTGAACTGGGAGGTGTCCACATTTTGGGTGGGCGAACTCGTGGGAATCGAGGTGAACCCTCATGTTTCATTGGTTTAAAGGCGTTCTCTAAAATAGCACCTCTTATGTAGTGGATGAATAACCCCTGATAAATAGAGGTGCTACAATCCAGTTTATACTCATCCACCGTCTAGAAATACCGGTGTTGGTGATTCTCATGGACACAAGATAGGAATCAGTTATTGACATGTTCACTGAAGCGATCCATCGAAGAGCTTTGCACAACAAGAATGAACCCGTATTGTGTGGGTCTTGATTCCAAAGCAATAACTGAACAACACCAAAAGCAAAACAACAAGGACCATCCAGGGTCACCCACGGACCCTACGCTAACTACCACACTGGCCCTTTCACTTGGCCCTTGGGCGGTCCTCATAAATCCTCATAGCCAAAACTACGCTGAAATGTCGGAGTTCCAGCTTCATGTGTTCCTTTTTATGACCTCCCCCTGTTTCACAGGAGTGGATGACTGCACTGACCGGCCCAGACCCCAAACGGCCTGCGCCCCGCGTGCAGCGGCCGGGGCACGCGGGCGCCGCGTGCGAGGCTCTGGCCGCCGTCGAGAAGGTCTTTCCGCAAGAGTCCCCCGCAGCGGCGGCGCCCCCAGGGGGAAAATGGTGAAAGGATGGTTCTGAGGAGTTTTGGTTCATCAATCACCTCGTTGAATTTTCTTGGCTCTTGAAAATTTGTGTTGCGCCTTTGTCGTTTTTTTGGGGTCTTGTTATGCGCGTTTTAGGGTCATAACTTTCACTTCATTGTTTGGATTGAATGAAGGGGATAATTGTTGAGGTGGTCAGAGTTTCTATGTGTAGGTTCAGGTTCAAATTCTACCAAGCTGTTCTTCAAAGATGTTGAATTATTTGCTTAAAATTCATATATTGATTGAGGTTAGGCGCTGTGGTTCCTGTTTGGTTTTGCATATCAAGCATCCTAACCGGACTTTCTTGAGCACAGGGAGCTGCCATCGTCCTGCACAGGTTGTAGAACAGGGACTGCACGTCAGACGTGGTGGGTCGGTGGTAGCGCAAGACATGACTGATTCGGCAAGACTGACAGGAGGTGTTTTGACAGCCAAAGAAGCTGCATTGATGGTCCTGATGGTCCTGATGGTCTGTTTTTCCCTCTCTAGGCTACCCAATGATGCTCAGGTGATACAAGCAATTGCGGAGGCAGGTGGGTGGAGAGCATGCAAGACTGAGGGCAGGTCAATCTGCACATCCTCTTCACGTTCTACATGCTGCCGTGTGTTTTCATGAGATGAACACGGGTGATTTTGCATGAGAGGACGAGCCGTTTACAACCTGCTGGTTCCTGGGTATTATATTTTGTTTTAACATCCAAAAGGACGTTAAACGTTCAGCCCATCCTCGTGGAACAGCGCTTCGCTTGAAGATATTTCCGAAGATTTCCCCGAAGAAAAGGACTTTCCTCGAGACGCAGGCCCGCAATTGGAAAGGGGTCCAGACTAGACTCGCAGAGTCTGGATTCTCAAACCCCCTTTTTGGATTGAACAGCATGAACAGCATCATCAGGAACCAAGATGAACCAAGATCGCGAGACCGGGCCGGGACCGGCGAGGCGGTGGGAGTCCGCCGGGTCAGACCCCCCGCGCGGCAGGTGCGGCAAGAACTCGAGTCTTTGTGCTGGGCTCAGAGGCTGCGAGGTAATGGGTTTCTCTTGCCAGCCTTGGGCGCACCAAACTTCCGGCGCCCAGACGCTTTAGGTCCAGACGCTCCGGGATTTAGGGTCACGAGGATCGGGCCTGTTCACACTTTTGGAAGGAGCGAAATCTAAGTCTGGGTGCTTTTCTCGAGTGGAGCTGGGCACCCCGACGATGTCTCGGTGACGGATGGAGGGGAGACGCGCCGACACGCAGACGATACACCGACTGGGGAGTCTCTAAAACGTGCGGCTCCAAGAATGGACACCCCTCAACCATCCTTAACCTCTCAGATGCTATTTACAAATAAACGCCCCTTGTGGAAGCTTGGATCATCCTTGTCGGATGTGTGGCGCGACATGTCGAACGCCCTCCCATCAGCCATTTGGTGCATCGACCGCCACCGCGTGGCGCGGGCGGCGATCGCAGGGGCCCGATCCGCCGTCGGAATCCATGGCGCTGCCGATCCCAAAGTTGGAGATTCCGACGCCCGAGCGGAAGGCCGACAAGGGCACGCCCGGGACTCCCGAGCGCTCAGTGCCGGTGTCGGCGCGGACCAGGAGCGGTGGAGCAAGGGCGGGCAGAGAGAATCTGTTCAAAGGGTATATATGGTTGTCGATCTAAAGGTCCTAGACAGGATTGTTGATGACGATGACCCGGAACATATCAAAATCTCATGTGGTGAAAGTTTTTTCTCGAGTCGGCGAAAGTCTTTTTTTTGCGAAAGATATGGCTGAAGATGTTCTTTCTGCTGCTGCTGCTACTACTACTCCTACTACTCCTACTCCTACTCCTACTACTACTACTACTACTCCTACTCCTACTCGTACACTCCTGCTGCTGCTGCTGCTACTTCTCCTGCTGCTGCTGCAGCTACTACTACTACTACTACTACTACTACTACTACTACATCTACTACTACTACTACTACTACATCTACTACTCCTACTCCTACTCCTACTCCTGCTACTACTACACATCTGCTGCTGCTGCAGCTGCTACTACTACTACTACTCCTACATCTACATCTACATCTACATCTACTACTACTACTACTACTACTACTACTACTACTACACTCCTGCTGCTGCTGCAGCTGCTACTACTACTACTACTACTCCTACACTCCTGCTGCTGCTGCAGCTACTACTACTACTACGACTACTACTCCTACTCCTACACTCCTGCTGCTGCTGCTACTTCTCCTGCTGCTGCTGCAGCTACTACTACTACTACTCCTCCTCCTACTCCTACACTCCTGCTGCTGCTGCTACTAGTACTCCTGCTGCTGCAGCTACTACAACAACAACAACAACTACTACTACTACCACTACCACTACTACTACTACTACTACTCCTGCTGCTGCTGCTGCTACCACTACTACAACTACTACGACCACTACTAGTACTAGTACTACTAGTACTACTACTACCACCACTACTACTACTCCTGCTGCTGCGGCTACTACTACTACTACTACTACTACTACTGCTAGTACCACTACCGCTACCGCTACCACCACCACTACCACTACCACCACCACCACCACGACCACGACCACTACCACTACCACTACCACTACCACTACTACTACTACTACCACTACTACTACTACTACTACTACTACTATTCCTCCTCCTGCTTTGGGGGATGGCTTTGCCACAAAACTCTACCCCGCAAAAGGCGAAAGTTTGGCGAAAGTTCAGCGCAAGATTGGCGAAAGTTCACCCTGCCACATCTGACCCCCAGCCCACTATGAGTAAGTCTGAGTGACCGGCTACTACAGTGATTCTTGCAATTTTGATTCTTGCTGACACCCAGGAGACGTACAGGGTGTCAACAGTTGAGTAGAAGACACATGCTGACAAACAGTGAAGTTTTTATTTTGTATTTGCCAGTAAAGAAGAGACCGTTGACGTGAACAAAACTGATATCCATCATCATGGCACACATAAATACAACATACTTCGGCGAAAAAACAAACGCAGGAAGGCAAAAGTTTGGCTAAAGTAATTTGTTTGGCTAAGATGACGGATCCCGGATAAAGGAGTTTAGATCAACACCCATATATACGTCGTATCTACGTCGCATAAAAACAACAATAATAACCCATAATGACACAATATCATTGAAACTCATCGCCGCATATCTCCAAGCTGGCCGTGCAAAAGAAAGACCAGCTAGACCGTCTCAACTTCGCGAAATGCCCTGTGGGCCTGGATCCAGCGGCGTTACCGTAAAGGTCTAGAGTCTAAAAACAATGCAACCTGGTCCTTTACCATCCTTTACCTTTGTCTGACCGTCTTCAGTAAAAAGCAGGTACATGGTCCATGGGGTGACTTTCTATCCCTTGACCCGGTCGGATAGGTGCTCAGAAGTGCTCCTATCTTCCCCCCACTAGTGCCCCAGATTCTAACATCGATCGAACGAGGGCTCCTTGCCCGACAGGAGGAGAAAACCACTTTAACCGCAAACCACGCCAGCAGCTTTCGTTCGGGTTTGCCGGTGGTTTGTCCACCGGGGCTTTTCGACCCGCCCCTCAGCATCGACGAAACCCCATCTTTACTCTTTGGATAGTGCAGGTCCTTGGTTTGTTCCCGGCGTGTCCTTCGAAGTCTTTGCAGGATCGCCACAGCAGGCAAGGTCTTTGCCATGACGAAGGTCTACGAGCCGTCGTCGGCGCTGTCCGACGACTCCGACGACGACTCGTCCACGGAGTCGGAGCGCGAACGGAACGCGCCCAAGCAGCTGAGAGTGCCACCCTTGCCGCTGCTGTTGGATGGGAAGTGCGGGTGGCCTGGCGATCGAATGATCGAATCAAGTGATTCTGAATCGGGGTCTAAACACCACTCCTTTTAGAGCTTCTGGTTCCTTATGCTTCTGCAACCTGGAACCTTGTGATGGTCCGAAGCAAAGTTCATCCAACACGCCAGGTACTTCCAGGTACTTGCCTTCCTAAAGGGTTTTGGACTTCGTTGTATTGGACGTAGGCTTTCCATGCCTTTCCACGTTGCTTTTCACCCCACTCGACTGGGTCGCCTGACCGGCTGTCAGGCTGCCAGCCAAGCCGAGCATCCCGCGACTGAACTGCGTGCACGAAGATTCCATGCTCTCGAGCGATTTGTTGAGTTCCAGTGAGGACGAAGGAGAGGAGGAGCTCCTGGGAATCGAATGGTGTGGCGGAGCGAAAGTGGAGCAAGATCCAACGGCCGGGGCGGCAGGTTCTTGCTGGTTGACCCCATGTGAAGTGCATGGGACTACTGTAACCCCTATCAGCACTGCCCACAGGATGGGTTCTTGGGTGGTAAAATACATTGGTATATAGGTGGGTGTACAAACCACCCCATGGCACAAACTGGTTGCTGGTACAAGTTCATTCAAGTTCGGGGTCTCACAGAAAACACGGCAGGTTGTGTCAACACCGCCCAACTTGAAATCGGTCGTGGCCGTCGTTACCGGCAACAGTTTACAGCCTCTATCTGCGACCTCTATTTGCGACCTGTATTTGCGAGGGCCCTGGTAGTACGTGAACTTTCTTTCCTTCCAAGGTCAGGGCCCAGTGCCAACCCATTTCAAGGCCTCCAAAGCCGCAGAACTCGTAAGACCATTACCAATACAATCGACTAAGAGCAGCTTTCCCCTCGTAGCTTTCAACAAGACCCTCGGATCTCAAAACATCGGGCGTTTTGTTCGGGTCTCAAACGATGACTCTAGGGTGCTACTGAACTGCGGCGGAGGTGCAATACAGCATCGGAACCAGCACCACGAAAAGGGTGGCTATTGGATGCGATTGGAAGGAACATGCACAGTCCATGGTGTCTATAAACCACCCGAAACTCCGTGTGCTGGTTTGTAGAGCTCAATCGTTAGCTTGGACAATGGTTTGATTTTCCTATTCTGTTCTCAAATCAGTCCCTCATTCCCTCGATCCGTCGGTCACCATCGTTTCTCGATCCGTCGGTCACCATCAACATGGGGAGCCTCAAAATCCTCAAAATCCCAGAGAGCCTGCAGCTTTCACCATGCTGCAGTACCATCCAAGCTCTGGCAATAACCAAGCTCGGCTCCTCCTGAGGCTCTTGGTGGAGTTCGAAGCTCCCATGGTCTCCCAGCGCTCACAACTGGTGCCGCTCTCCTTTCGCAGCGCTTTGCAGTCAGAGGCCACGCAGATCTCGCTGGACCTCACCGCCATGTCGAGCCTTGGCACAGAACCAACACATTGAAAACCGGGCCATTCGGGGAATCCGAACGGAGAGCAAGGGGCAAAGGAAAAGACATTGGTTGACGATGTCTAGGTCTGAGTTCCCATATGCTCCCCATGGGTCCCCCAAGCTCTTGCGCATGGCCTATGACGCCCCATCATCGCCCATGTGTCATGGCTGTCCTTGCGAGTGCGAAAAACCGTGCGAGTTCGGGTTTTGGCGCCACCCACCCAATTGAATTTGAGATAATTTGAGGACCTTTTTGAAACATATTGTTTAAAGGTTTGTTACATTGGTTTACTGAATCTTGGGCCCCAACCCAATGTCACCTGTTTTCAACGACATGTCTCAATGACATGTCGTCGTTCGGATGGAGCTTCAGTGACATAGTCAACACAGAGACTCTGGAGATCTCTCATGCAATGCAGTATCCGTTGGGTGTGCGGTGTGCACTAAAGACTAACTGACTAACATATAATGTATCATGTATGCTGGAGTATCATGGAGTATTGGGGGAGTGGACTGGGTGCACTTATTTCCACTGGGGGACCCCCTGGCCCGGGATTTGCCCTATTGTCCAAACCTTCCAGAAGCTCTTTTAGGAGGTCTCCCTATTTTAATACATACCCATAATATGCATATATATATATATAAATATAATCGGTCAACTTTCAGGAGCTCCGTTGCGGGACTTTTTTGTGTGAAGAGAGCTGGAACTACATCTGCACAAGCTGCTGCGACCCCAGATACCTACCCAAGTCAGGACCTTCGTGGACCTTCTCACTTGGGGGTAATTGGGCCATAGGAGCCCTAGAATAGATAGGTCTTCATGAGTTCGACTGTTCTTATACAGCAACTGACCTAGATAAGTATAAGTTAAACAGTTATAAGTATTAACATCGCAAGTATATGCTTCAAATCCAGCACTTCACTGCCGGAAGAACCTCATACCAGCAGGATGTCCGGGCGCTATCCATGGAGGAAGTCGGGGTGTCCCTGTCACATCCAGGGCCCCTGCGATCTCAAATCCACCCCAACCTGGAACTCCTGGTCTACGAGTCTACTTTTGATGAGTAAATGAGACTAAATAACTGTTTGGGAGGATTCTTTTCATGGTTTCAACCATGTTCAGATCATCTCCTCACCTACCACCCCCACCGCATCCAGGAAGGCCTCGCGCTGCGCGAGCGCCAGTGGCCTGGGCGCCATGGCGGGCACGGCCTCCGGCGCGGTGCTGGGCTTCCTGTCAGGCCGCACCGGGGGGGGGGGTGTGGCAGTGTGGCGGGTTGGTTGAGGTTTGGGAAGAGTAGAAGACCGTGGTAGGGGAATGAGCAGCTTTGGGATCATTGGCGGGCAGTGAAGCTTTGTGGATCTTTGTGGTATTTTTTGGGTACGATCAGGATCCGAACAAAACACTCCCAAAGACAAAGAACATCCTTGCGGATCCTGGCATTGGACGTTGCGAAGGACGTGGCCTGGCATCGACGATCACCTGTTTGAATCACGCAGTTGCGATGACAACACGCTTTTGTATGAACGCTGGCTCGGGCCAGGGGGTGGTCATCTCAGATGAGTGCACAGCTGGAGCACCAAAGGCACAGTTCTGTGCTTCCAAACTCCTGAAAAGCCCTCCACCCAGTTGGTTGAACCGATATGAGTTATAGTCATAGTATCATAGTCCAATTATATAGGTTTATGGTACCAAACTTAAAACTTACTCCTTCTCTTCCCCAAAAGGGCCATCACATACCTCCCTCAAGTGTACAAGCAAGAATGGGTTTATGGCAACCAACTGACTCGACTGACCCCCCCTTTATTCTTACCGCCATCAGTGGCACTTCGACCAGGCATCCTCCCGGCACCTTTGACGTTGGGCCTTTCCGTGCCGATCAACGCTGGTTTGGGCAGCATGGGTGGGATGATCCTGGGCACTGCGGGGGGCTTGATTTGCCAAAGCCTGGATGCTCGGACGGAGGTTTCGAGCCCACACGGCCGTTCATGGGACACCATGGGACAGGTGGGAAGAGGGAGTGCCCATGAACCACCGACCGGACAGATTCCATTTCGACCGACCCGGCGACCGCGGCGTCCGGTCCTGGGTGGTGCTGACATCATCTTGAAGGTTGACGGTTGATGAATCACACACCCAAGGCCTGGAGTCTGGAGATGAAATTCTGGAGACGGGGGAGTGATTCATCCACGGACTTTAGGGTACTCTACACTCCCTGAAATCATCATGAATTGTTACGTGGCAGCCCCCAGTTCGGAAAGAACACATGTTCCAAATATATAACTGGTGGTGCCATTCACGTCACCCGCCATGCATATTTGAGGGAGTGTCGGATCCATGATGATTTCAAGTCGAGTCTAGACAGTCTCGAACTTCATCATCCCGCAGGAAAAAGCTCCCAGCCAGCGGTTTCTGGCGTGTGGAGGCCCTTGTTCGAACGAGGAAACTGAACCCCCCCCAAAGCCATACCAGAGCCTGCAACCGGGTGTTTGGGGAACCCGACCAGTCCGGTGCTTTCAGGGTTTCTTTCACCACCGGACTGACCAGGCACCGAAGTCGGATCCAGGTACCAAGACCTCCTGTGAAGTCGGGTGTCGATTCACTGAAAAGCCAGGAAAGATGTTAATGGGTGTCCATTAATTATCCCGACTGTGGACTTCCATTTTATTCGCACTCGTGCTATGTGCTTTGTTTTGTGAGTTCCGGGAAAAAGACTTCAGCACTCGGCCATCTTCCTGTTCTCTCTCGTGACCGAATCATGAAGGGGTGCCGGATCTGGAGGGATGCCTTTCCGGTGTGGGGTGCTCCAATCCATTGCCATCACCCGTTAACCTGGACCTCCATGTTCTTCGATCACCCGGACATCGAACTCCGACGTCGAACTCCGACTCCTGGACGGGACGGGAAAACGGGATATAGCAATTAACTAACAATTAAAGATTCCTGGCCCACCATTGATTCAATGGTTTGAATCCGAGAGAATGGTTGTAGTAGGGTGTTAGACGACAAAACACATTTTTGTAAAGGCTAGGGTCTGGTTGGGTGGTTGAGTTGGTGCCATTTGAGGATGTGTGACAAAGTATCCAACTTTCAAGATCGAGTGCTGGTGACCGGGACGAAGAGGCAAGACATTTGCCGCGAACATCGACGCTTGGTTCACCAATCTCGTTCAGAGCATGGACGGCTCGACGGGGACTCTCCCGAACTCTGACGCTTGGGGCAGATCGGGGAGTCCCGATTCTCCCCAGGACGTGGTGCAGATCGACGCCGTGCAAGCTGAGTCCCCCATGACCCAGCGAGCCCTGGACACTCAGCGGACCGCCGCCAGCAGTGCGCGCGGCACGCCGGGGGTCCTACTGAAGTTTGCCCTGGCCAACGACACCCCAGAGGAGAGCCGATCTGTTTTCGATGGTTTTTCCGGCGAACGACGGACTGGGCAAGTCTGAACTCCTCCGTCCGTTTGTACCGTTGTTGTGGGAGACCGGACCAGCTCCCGTCGCCTGACCGTGAAAAAAGGTATCCCGGAAAGTCACTTTCGATGAATTCGGGGGGATCCCAACGAGACATCACCGGACTGGGTCGGTGTCCGTCACTGACGGGATCCTTGGATCGAAAGAGATAGAACGTGTAGACGTTGGAACCTGAATGAAGATCTTGATGTTCTTAGAGGCGTCAACATCTTTTTCCGTGCCCTCATCCTCTTGATGTTCGTGATGCCCACTTGTTAGGACTCCTCTCTCCCGAAATCTGCGGTGAGGATGAGCCGCGTGCGATGGACGCGGTGGTCTCCTATGCGCTGAAGGGTGGTGTGGCTATGGGATCCTTAGGAGGTGCCAGTGGCTCTGCAGTGGGTGGATTAGTGGGTGCAGCAGTGTCTTGGGCTGTGATTTGTTTGCTGTGTTTCTCTTTGTTTGGATGTAGACTGTTGATCCCAAGAAGGACATATGCAGGGATTTTTGTTCATCAGTCCACAATAGTCCACATAATTCAACCCAGCTTCTTCAAAGTGACCTTTTTGGAGTCCCCAAGTGACCTGTTACAGGCCTAAGTGACCTCACACCAGGATATCAAAAGGACACTTTGAAGAACCAGGACATTTTCTCTTTTCAATCTTTTCCTATGATTTTTCTTGCTTGGCGGTTGGGAGGTAGGGACCCGAAGACCGGAATGAGCTTATGCGGAGCGGGATGGGTCAAGCACCTGGAGCCCGACCAGTCCACCATGTGAAAGACCTCGGTATCCAGCTCTTGACCTATGACTTCCATCAACTGGTGCAGGAGAATGACTTGATTTCACTGGATTCACAGATTGACCCTCCCCACAAAGCTCCTCCAACCTTGTTCCCCTTCTTCTCTCTCCCTCCCTCTGGGTGGATTCCCAGGTGGGTTTGCCTCCCGCGGTGCTCACCTTTGGCCTCAGCGTCCCGGTCTGCGCCACCCTGGGCAGCAGCCTGGGACTTTGCATCGGCTCCGTCGCCGGTGGGAGCGTCGGCCTCCTCGGCGGCTCGCTGGTGGGGCGCCTGGCGTCCCCCCGCGGCACCGCGCCGCGCACGCCGCGCTAGCGCCGCGGCCACCGCGCCGGACGCTTCATCGAAGGAGCCGGCGGAGGTGTGGAAGCGATGGCAGCGAGGAGGGTCAGAGCCGTGAAGGGCGGGGCGTGAGGAAACAAGTAGGACCGGACCCTGGACAGCGAGTTAGAGGTTTGGACAAGGTAACTTCTGAGAGAGAGAGAGAGAGAGAGAACAGGACCTTGGAAGGCGCGTGATTCAGAGAGTGAGAGACCCTCACCCCCCCCAAAACCAATATTTGTTTGCAAAGACATGCTTGCAATGCGTTTTCAGGTATTTTTCGCATCTTCAGGAGTTGCAGCATTTCGCCGATCAAGAGTATAGACATGACATGACTGTTGGACCTTCAATTTGCATTTAGCATGCGTTTTAGCGTTCCGTTCCGCATCTCTTTGGTGCAAAACACAGTCGCCGACATAACTCGCATCAACTCGCTGTCTGGGGCACGATTGTTTGAAGATGTGGGTGCGTCTTGTTGGCTCGGCATCTCTGAAAAAGGGTACTGTCCTGGCATTACTACTAGGAACAAGAAGCTACTAGGAACAAGGGCATCGCTACTAGGAGCAAGAAGCTACTAGTAGCTCCTGGCATTACTACTAGGAACAAGGAGCTACTAGTAACAAGGGCATCGCTACTAGGAGCAAGGACGCTACTGTTGACTCATGAAATATACTCCATGCTGACACCCTGTCCACGATGGCCGCCACGGTAGAAGGTGTCGTTGATGCGATGGGTGGCTGCGAACCTATTATATAATGTAATCAAACAGCTATATGCAATGCAAGGTGACAATTGTGGTAGTCAACGTGTCTTTTAAGTTCATCGTGGTAGGTTTGGCGGGGAGTTCCTGTGTGAAATGGGTGTTTCATGGATGTGGATGCAAGGTGACTGTTGAGACCAAAGAACTGGCAGCTCAGTTCAGAGAAGATGCAGGGGGACTCACAGCATCTTAAACTGCCAAACCTGCACCCATGATGCAGGTTGGAGAACTCTGAACTGCTCAGCAGGAGGGTTTTGGGAGAAGATTTAGGGGCTGGTCATGTACTTGCTGGGACCCACTTTGATTTGGGATTCCAAGGGGGGTGAAGGGTACTGGACTCACTTGGATTTTCTGTGTATCCTTTGTGGTGGGGTCCTTGAAGGTACTTCTAGGTAACGAACAGCGGCGAAATGGAGCGACATTTCGGGAGCCTGTGGGTGAAATTGGTGTGAATCTTGGCAGTATACCCGACCAACACGTTACAAAACGGTACTTTGATGATGCAGATCGGGACGATCTACTGACCTACAGCAGCCTTCAGGATTGTTCAGCAAAACTTGTTGATCCTGAATGGAGGGATCACCTGACGTCCAAGGATGTCTAAGATTGGACTCCTCAAAGTCCTGTATACCCTCCCTCCAACACACATCAAAGTCGAGTCACCCACTGGTTGTCGAGAAAATTTCATGTTGGAGGCAAGGTATATGTATTACCACTCTTGCCCCTTCTTTGTGCCCTCTTGAGATTAAAATAAAAGAAAAGTTAACCCGGATTCTTAGTGTAAAATCCTTAGTATGGTTGTTTGGTAAGACATATTAAATCAATGGAAGATGCACGCGACGAGCGCATCCACGGTTTCAGTGACCCGATGCTGAATGCGCACGCTGCGCACGTATGGATGCGGGTCCTTGTGACCATTTAAAGCAGATGAAAGCTGATGTGATCAATGCAATGCTGTCAGGAAACCTGGCGGAAGTCAGTCCTGTGGGGTTGGTTTCCATGGAAAAAGGGCGACGGTCTGCGAAAGAAAAATTGAGTATATAGTACTCCTACTGTCCGCCTTGCAGGGCGAGGTGAAAACGGGGGAGATGCAGGTCGGTCAATAACCAGGTTCTACACCAGCTTGGCATTCAACAACGGGCTGAAATGTCGGTAGTTAAGCCACATGTAGGTGTTGCTGGCTCGCACGGAAATCATTCAGTTTTACGCTACCTTGTGTGCTCACCAGATTAATCTTTCGTTTTGGAGGAAGAGGCACCCGGACACACTGTCGACATGGTGAGCCTTTTAGCAGCGTCTGCATATTTATACCATCAAGATCCATCAAGTGTTTGTCATAGCTGAAACCTTCACTTGTCGTGCAAGACTGGAGAGCTTCTGAAGGGCCTCTGTCCTCGACGTCGCTTGATGCAAACCTCCCCTTCAATTCGGGGCCCCGAGCCCGTCGTTGAGCCGCAGACGAAACTTAGAGCTGCGCTTGAAAGGGCAGATGAGCTGTCGGGCCGTCGGGTTGATGTTCGGTGCTCAGGGTGGATCGGAATCCATCCAACAGCAAAACATCAACCAAAATTGGAAGCTTAAGGTACCATTAAGACTTCTTAAGATATCTCAGAAGCTTTGAAGCTTTCCGTCTCGGGGAGACTACCAGTGAACCCATCTCACCATCTCATCCCGCACCACCCAGTTTTTCCCGGATGTTTTATAGACTCCCCAAAACCATGACCTAGAAGTCCAAAGATTATATTTTGACCGACTGAAGTAAAGGACATTCCTTTCCGGGTCACCTAAAGACCGTTATTTTTATAGTCTCCCAGGGCATGTGTCTTATAGAACTCCTGGATGGCTTATATAGATGGCTTGGATGGCTTCAACAGCTACTGTCTTTTTTTTAGGATGACTTATTCATATTCATTCAACAGTCAACATGATGATCCATGTACACAGTGGAAAATGGTCCCTTGGATGACAGTTGGCCTCTACAAACAGGTGGAAACAGGTGGTTTTCCACTTCCATGATGATTCCCGGGAGTGTCAACTGGTTGATCAGACGGGCCTCTCAAACATGGCCTCTTGGCCTGTTTGATTCGAGTGCTTCCCGTCCCAAGCGTACCAATGTGGACCCTGAAAACCACGGGGTAGAAAATCCGATTGAGTCCCGACCTGTCTGGAATCTGAAGGGGTCTTTCCGAGTCGAATCAGTGAGAACTGGAGAATCCGGGCGGAGCGTCTCAGATGGGCGGAGCGCGATCCCTCCGGGCTCCCGGATGGGCAGAATGGGCTGAGAATCCAGTCGACCGTCGGCTCCCGAGTCCATGGCGATCCGCCGCGCACCGACGGCGATCCGACGGCCCCGACGGGGGCACTTCCTTCCTTCCTGAGGCGATCCTCGGACGTGCTGTCCGGTCCAGAGCCCTAGCGGGTTGGGCTCCGGGTTCGCGGTTCGTCGTGGCGAAAAAGGATGGACTTGAGAGGCTGAGCATGGCTGAACTGGTCGGAACATGGCTGAACTCAAATTCCCACATATTCCAAAACATTGGCTGAACTTGTTTTTGGATGTTTTTGGATCATATTGCATTTGATTCCCTGTTGATCAGAGCATTGATGAACTGATCTTTTTCTTTCAGGGATCAGTAGTACAGGGATCTTAGTGTGCACTTCTTCATAGCAGGAGAGACCCTACCAGTGGTAAGGGGTGTCCCGAATTTATCCTTTCATCCTTTGTTTGGAGGGGTGATTGTTTGATGGAGCTCCTGTGTGGAAGACTGATCAGGTTTACGCATATCAGTATCAGCAGCTGTAGCAGCACACATGTATAAAAAATATCTTGGACATCTCCGAGGCCACACCCCCTGGACAAAGGCACATACACTTAGACCGATCCTGGTTTTGCCGAAGGGATTGCTTTTGAATATCCCCATGGGTCAATCCCCTTCTGAGGAGTATACTGTATACCATTGTATACCATTGTATACCCGTCCGATTCGGCCAATCCGAGAGACTGTCTACCCCCTTGTGCCACGTTGCCGACACCACAAGGCCCCGATGGAGCGGAGGATGGATCAGGCCCGAGCGGGGAAGATGGGTCACCGGAGCAGCTCAGGGACGCGCATCATAGGGGCGCCCTTCTTTATTTGGTGGTTGGGAGCTCCATTCAGAAGCCCATAGGTCCTCGGTCCTTGGGACGAAGGGAGTGGAAGAGAAATTCCTGCATGCATGCAGCCCCTTGACCCCTAACTCGACCCCTATGTTTGCTCAATGGCTCCTGTCCTCGCAGGAGATGAGCCCTGGTTCCAGGACCACGACACGCCCGGTCGGCCCTCCGAGGCCGGCGGTAGCTCGCAGGTTGGGGTGGGTGGGTGACAGGCATCACCACTGGGTGGTTAGCCCAAAATCACGTGCACTCTGACTCACTAAGATGGAAGTGGATGGCATGGTCTAAGGCAAAGAGCAGGAGCAGCAGGAGTCTAGTGGGCCATCTATGGATTCAGGCGCTACACTGGAGGATCCTGAGGGAATCCGTGAGGAAACCCGCGTGAAGACTACTTTCCTTTACGAACAGGCAGTTTTCCACTTCCATGTTGAGTCGGAGCTCGCCACTTGGGGGTGTTGGATGTCGGGTGGTGCACCACAGCAATTGAAGCAAGAGGATTTGAAGCAGGCAGTTGAAATGGGTGTGTATTCAAATGGGAAGACCCCCCAAAGACCCTGTGGAAGAAAGGAATTAGACCACAAAACTCACTGGAGGTCTCCGGTTCTTCTTGTGATTTTCCACCTGGTGGACATCGTGTCTTCTCCTGTGCACCAAATTCATGATCAGGATGACCAGATCCTGTTTTGTGGTTTTTTTCCTCCGCGAGTTGAGTTCTACTGGCCTGCAGGCGTCGGCCGGATTCGGTTCTGACGCACGTCGACGACGTCTGGGTGGCCGGTTCCACGTCGACAGGTGATGCATGTTGTGGGACTGCAGGATCCACCTGGGAGCAGAGGAACTGATCCTTCAGCCTCTCTGGACGAAGCATCCAACAAGTAGCCAGAAAGCATCAGAAAGCATCTCAAGCCGAAGCCTGGGGGCCCTATATGGACCCTGGGAGGCGTCACAAAACCACAGATCTTGGAGGGTGTGAAATCCTGGTTGATCATCCTTTTCCTTCTCATTCCCAAACGTTCAAAAACACCCTGCCACAAATAACGTTTGGAGTCGATGCCGTCGAGGCAATTCCGCCGCCAGCCTTCCCCTACTCCTCAACCCCTCGTGTTCGATCCACCGACGGGTCAGGTGTGCAAGGTGGATCTGTGGAGTGGAGGTGGGGGAGCCCGCCCTGAGAGCGCCGAAGCCGGAGTGTTCAACGCAGTTCTTCAAACCGGACCCCGGTGCGTTGCTGGAGCCGCCACATAGAGGCCGTATTGCGGCCGTTGAAGTCCGCTGCTAAGCTGGTGTCCTTCGCGGCCGGGAGCCGTTCGGAGCGACGGGGAGCCGTTCGCCGAAGCCCGAGCTGGCGTTCGGTGGAAACCTGGGCGATTCGGAACGCCCTTTTTGAGCTTCCGATTTGGTCCATTCATCGAAAGAAGCCGCGTTTGAAGATGACCATCCAAACCTGAAGATCGACTACAACTACTGTACACCCTGTGGGTCCCTGGGTCTTCTGTTTGAGCACATCAAAAAGCCCTCCAAATTTGTTTTTTCTGCACGAACTCTCGCACAGAAACGTTTGGTAGAGGAGATTAAAGCTGATCACCGATCAGGGCTATGTTGAGATATGTGTTGGGTTCATGAAACAGGCTGGCAGAAGAGATCCTCGTCAACTACAACGCCAAGAATCCTGGCAAAACATGTTTGCTACTCGCATGTTTAGTACTTGTAAGGATAAGATTGTATATGGCAATCCCTAGACAATCCCTAGAGGAAAACACCAAGGGCAATTAGAGGAAGAAACATGAAGAAACATAGAACCATTACTTATGTACTAGACCAACCAATAACCTAATCCTACAACATCCTACAACCAACAACCAATGACCACAACCACCCACCCACATTTGGGGACCCCCCTTTGGCATTCAGCTGGGGTCGCCCAGAAGCGTCACGGCACGAGCCGCCAGGGAGCAGAGCTGCTGACGCCGAGCCGCCAGCGCGGTGGACGTTGGGGCAGCAGGCCGAGCGGTCGGGGGGGCGGGGGGGGGGGGGGGGGGGGGGGGGGGGGGGGGGGGGGGGAGGGGGGTGGGGGGGAGGGGGGGGGGGGGGGGGGGGGGGGGGGGGGGGGGGGGGGGGGGGGGGGCGGTGGGCGTCAGAGAGGCGACGGGATGGAGCGGGTGTGGAGCAAGGATAGAACGGGGGAAAAGCTCGTGTTTTTTTATCCGAAAAGAACGGGGGATAGGAGGAGGGAATGTAGGGACCAAAGATTGATGTGTTTTACATGTGTGTGGTAGCTCCAGCCAGATTCGTCCACGGTGCAGAAGTGCGCCAACCTGTCGAAGGTAAGTCCAGCTTTTGTAGGATGGTCCGCTGGCAGGGCCAGTGTAGGTGACCCTGCTTCCCGGACACCATAGCCAGTTCCCACACTTGCGCCCAGAAAGCACTCAGCTCTAGGTAGCGCAGAACATGGGCCAGATCTGTTTGGACCTCTTTGGGGTGATGTTTAGCAGCTATCCGTTTTGAAGTTTGCTCACCCAAACGGTGGGAAAGCCCCTGGTCCACGAAGCTCTTAGTTGCTGAACACCGCTCTTAGTTGCTTTGAAGGTAAGCCTTGGTAAGGGACGGGCGTCGTCGTTGAAGTAGATGCAGTCAGGACCCAGTGATGTGGTTTGAGGGGCAGAACTCGGTGGGGGGAGACAGACAGACTCTTCCCTTCGTGTGAGAACGGCCTCTGGCCGGAAGACGCCAGCAATGAAGGAGACGGGGGCGTTCCACCCTGCACATTCTGGCACCACCCCTACCTAGTAGCCACACCCCTCGGTTTTGGCGGGACGCACGTGTCGCGCTCCCCCGGTATGGATCGACGGGATGAGGACGATGTCCGGAAGGTTTGCGGAAGACGCGGGTCTTTCATCCGGGGGCTCTTTTCTCGATCCCACTACGCTTCATTCTTATGTCATAGACTCTCCGAGTCAATGTAAGATTCGAAGTAGAAGACCACCGGTGCTCCTTCTGGCCATGCCATCCACTTCCGTTCCATGAATCCCAGAATTGGTTGAAGGGAACATCTGCACGAACCCATGGATTTCACCTCCAAAACTATGGGTTTCGTGTAGATTCTCCCTTAAACCAATTCTGGGCATGATGAGTTTCGGGGAGAGCAAGATTTGAAGATTCACTGGGTGCCAGATGTGGCTGGCCCCAGGCCCTGCCAGCTATTGCCAGCTTGCAGCGTCCCAGGTCTTTTGGAGTACATCAAGACCACCAGGTGGCTGTCGGGGGTCGCGCGGCGTTGGGGGACCAGGGTGGTGAATGGATATACCCCCCTCATTGAGGGGGCTTTCAAGAGACACCCCAAACACGGGGCCCCTGCCCCTGGTATGTACTTCAGGAATGGACAACTGGATGTACTCCAGGCCCCAGGCATCACTGTGGAGAATGGGCGGTCCTCCAAGCGAGTAGAGAATGAGCACTCCTGGAGCCCCTGCACCCCCTGGAGTCCATGTCCGTTGTTGAAGCCCCTTTTCTGGATGGTTGAGTGCAATCTTTGAGATCTTAAGCCAATTTGGAATCTGGGAAGAAGTCAAGATGGTTCCAGGGTGGTCTTCCTTGACTTGCTCAATACAGATAGCTCTGGCCAGGATTCCTGCCATGAGTGTTCCAGAATTTCACCCACCATCTTTTCCAAAAAGCACCACTGACCACTTGACCAAGACGCAGACCGACCCCCCGCCCTTGGGTTTTCTCGGTCTTCTCGGACGGAAAATTCCCGGAGGAACGGAGCCCGGCCGGCCGAGCCCTCCTCGGTGAGGTTTGGAGATGATCCCAACGCCGGCCTTTTGGATGCGACCCGCGGGGGGGGTCGTCCGTCGTCTGCTCGGAAGGGGTGGGGTGACCCCTTCCTGGCGGTGTTCAGTGAGAAGGAGAAGAAGGAAGTCGGATAGTAGAGGTATGTAGAGGTTCAGAGCAACAGGAAGACACTTGGTGTTCCCGTGAGCATGACGTCAGCATCCTTGTTCTTTTCCTCAAGCCTCCTTCGTTTGACACGGGCTTCCAAGGGCTCCGGGCGCCACCTCACGGCGCCACCGAGGCCATGCCGCCGGCGATGCCTGTCCGCCCGGTGGTCTCGGGCGGAGCTGAGGCAGTGCGGCGCGTGCTCGAGATGCTGTGCCTTGGAGCTGTGCTTGAGGGTGAAGGATCTGGTGGAGCTGGTAGCACTTGGACACTGTTACCGACTCTTGATGAATAAACCCCTCATATGAAGAGTATGTCACAGTATGTCACTATGTCCAATGCTTATGGGGGGATTTGTGTTCTGTATAGTTGGCGCGGGGTGGCGAGGTGAAAAATGTAATGTCGGTCTGTCAGGCTGCTGTAGCCTGAGGTTTGACTAGCTTAATCTTGCCTATATCTTGAGGGGAAATCCATCAAAATGCAATGTCTTGTGGGGAAACAACCAACATTTTTCTTGCTCAAGTGGGCTTTTCTCAAAATGTTCAGGACCCACATCAATGGGGGTTTGGGGGTTTCATCTACATACGTGTTGCCTATATATATAGCATGATTACATTCCTTCATACCCGGGTCTCTTTTTCCACACATGACATGGGGCCGTCATGACAAGCTTCGTCAGACCTCTCCATTCCATCCGTCCTCGCATCGCCGACCGTGCCTTGCACCACCCTGCTGGGGATCCGGAACCGGATCCTGCTGGGGCCAGTACTCATCTGCGGATGAACTTCGGTCTACATTGTATACCATCATGGTATACCCTGTGTTGCTTAGGGATTCTATGGGATTCTTATCATTCTTTTCACGAAAGGTAGCCTCGTAAGGGCTACCTTGAGTTTGCTTTGCGAAGCAAAGGGGTAGCTTGAACAGCCTGTTCGGGACTAATGACAATTGACATATCCATTCTGATTGATCACCACTTTGAAACCCCCCTCGCCAGCACTAAGTTGCAAAGCGGACAAAATCCACTGTGACTTGGAGATCTGGGTGTGGAACACCACACCTCTGACCTTTTGAGGCCTCCCTCCTGCTTGATGGAGGATGAGGCAGATGCCTCATGGATGGGAATTTGGAAACTACGGAATGTCCCATATATGATAACTATATCGCGGCGTACAAATATAGAAAGTGGATTCCCTTTAAGCATTGTAGTGAGATGTATAGTAAAAGTCTTGTCTCTTTCGGGACCTGGCAGCTGGACATCTTTGAACACATTGTGTTAAACTGAAGGTTTTGTTTTAAACTGTTTGAAGATGAACAATACTGTTCAGCTTGTGATGATGGGATTCTGCATATTCAAAAGTACTGTAAAATACAACATATACAACCATTGACTCTGTTGGATGACAGCAATCTGACTGGTCTCTGGCGTGTTGCAAGTCTCCCCAGAGAATCTGGAGATGTTCAAAGCTTGCTGAACTCAGAATTGTTTAGAGCATAGATGGCCTTCTACTGCTTGGTTGATTGTTTAGAGGGGATACCCCCCAAGGTACCAAGCCAACCTCTCTATTCTTCTCAAAAGGACCTCACTGTACCCGCTCGGACGGACCCGCCAGGGCCGTGGTGCTCCGGAGCGGCCGCTGAGTGCGGGGAGCTTGCAACACAAAGCCACAGGTGCCCGCAGCACCGGAGGTCTCCATGGGAAGGACGTGCTGGTTCATATAGCGTGACCCCCGTCCAGACTCATTCCCTTATGCCTTGCACAAGTCAGTTGCTCGATCCCAGTTGCATGTGAACTGTGGGGCCCGACCATCGTTCGGATGCCGCACGGACAACCACGCCCGGAGGCTGCCCGAAATGGAAGCCTCAGCCGCTATGGCTTCGGCATGGCAGGTGGCGGGTGGCCGGTCGCCGGGTTTTGGTAGGGTTTTTGTGATGTTTTTGCGTGGATTGGTTCGATTGGGTTTTCCAATGTTTTCAATATGATGTTGACGTTTGTGTCGCCCACGGGGTGTTTTTCTCTGGTGTTTTTCACCCTGTCCCACGGGATGACCAAAACGCCTCGGGGTCTCACCCAGCAGGTCTCGGACCCACTCTCAGATGGTTTGGGCTGTTTGCTTTTTGCGGGTTGAAGCATATGTTGAAAAGTGATAGGGGATAGATCTAAAAACTAAAAAAGCACATCCGTTATACACATGTTTAGAACAATGAAACTGTGCACGCGCTGCAAGGGAGGAGGATGGTCCCCAACATATGCTGGGTTTGTGTAGTAACCATATGTAACCATGATGACAAACATATATTATGATATATCATTTGTATATATATATAATCAACAACAGACAATTCTCAACAACAACACAAAACACGTTCCATCAAAAACAACAACAATACCAACAAACAAAACACACACACACACACACACATGTAACACACAAATGCACAACCAACAATCAGCACACACACACAAAATTGTTTTGGTTGTTTCTTTGTTCACTTTTGCTTTATAGTTAGAGTTTCTGCTTTACATTTCTGTGTTTCATGCTCTTTAAATTGTATTTGGCCGCTTTTGAGTATGTTGAGAGGTGTTGCAGACTGTAGTGGTAGCTTAATTTGCTGCTGCATGCAGGTGTTTCCCAGCGAACATCTCAATTTCAGAGATCTCCAATTTTTGGCTACCCTACACTACACTGCACTGGATCTCCCTACCACACCCGCAACGGAAGGTTCCATAGGCACCAGACACATCCTCCTGAAAACCCTCCATTCATTGCCGCACCAGACCAAGATGCTTTTTCATGGAAGCCCTCCACACGACCCTCCATACCTTCGCCGGGTGACCGCGCCTACCGAGTCGACCGGTCTGACCCGGTCGTGCGCTCGCATCGAGGTTCAATGAGCGCGTGGTCTTGAGGCCCTTGGAGCCCGGCACGCCCTTACCGCCCGGACACCGAGTACTGTGGAGCTCGTGGGGGGAGCGGGGAACGCGCCTGGGCCGACGCGCAAGCTCGCTCGGCCTGGGCCTATAAGGGGTTGTGGGTTTGGGATCACCAATTCCTGAGGTAATCAACACCGGGGGGACCTTTTTATTGTAAATTTTGGGGTGGTGGAACATGGTTTGGGCAGTTTTTTGGTGGGTAGTGACAGCAGTGACTCGACTCATTGACAATCATTTGGAGCAATCTCTTGACACCTCAGGAACGTTGAGTTGCTTTCCCCAGCTCTCCCACGCGAAGAACACCATACCGGAATCACACCTTTTTTTGTTTTGTGAGCATCGTTCAAAACCTAGGTGTTCATATTTAGTAAGGACGTGCTCATAAGGAGACTGTGCGTAAGCAAAAACCTGCATTGCGTAAGGTTGCGTAAGTATTTTTTGGCCGTAGCATTTGCGTAAGCAAAGTGCGTAGCTTGACTTTGATGTTGGTGCCAAGTAAAAAGATGTAAAAAGCCAAGTGCGTAAGCTCATGTTGTGGTGTGGTGGAGAAAGTTTGTCCGTATCTGTTTGCGTAAGCTCCGCGTAAGCGCTTCATGTCCCCTGCATGGCGCGTAAGCTGAAACGCGAGTCGCGTAAGCAAAGCGCAAGCGTGTGCGTAAGCACCTCCTTACGATACTGCGCTTCAAAGACAGGTTTTGAACAAGGCTCAAGTGAAACGGATGTGTAATAAAATAGGGAGACCCCCCAAAGACACCCTGGAAGAAGGGAAATAGACCAAATCCATTGGTTTGGTTGGTGGTCTCCCTGTTCAAAAACCCAAATGGAGTCTCTTTTTGTGGGCTGTGTTTCATGCAGGGCTCATGCAAGGCGACCGTGGAACGTGAGTTGCCCTGCCCCTTTGGCGACCGTTCGGCACGGCCGTTCAGCCATTGGGGTCGTTGGGGTGGGTAGCTGTGTCCAGGAGTCCCAGAAACAGCTCGCCTTATCTTCTGCAGCCCTTAGTCGTCTGAGCCCCAAGGGCACAAGGGCAGCACCGGCGGTCGTTTTGGCGAAAACACACACTCTGACATTGGTTTTCAGTGACTCAGTTACCACGTTGGGAAAATGGTGAGGGAACGGCAAGGCACATGAGTCGGTCCAAACAGTATTGTTTAAAAATGTTTCCACAGGTGCAAGTCTGCAGTCGGCGGCTGGCTGCAACTCACGATCGGCTAAGAAGTGCAGTGGAAAAACCTGTTTGTGGGGAAGGTAGCATGAAGAAGGACCATGAAAACAACGAACAGCGGCAGGGTGGACCAGTGGAGTCAATGTGTTGAAAGCAGGTACGTCAGTTCCGCGTCCGGAACTGATATCCTCACCATGTATTGCCAGCTTCGTTGATGGAGAAGCAATACAGGTGTCTCCATCCCCTGCCGAAGTTGGTTGAGAACCCTTTGTCCAGGGGTGGACACACACAAATCGCCGGCTTCGGCGCTTTTTCAAAGAACGGTGGCACACATACGGTGCCGCTTCGCGGCGCGCATGTGAAAAACCTAAATAGTCACCTAAAAAGCCTTAGAAACAAAAGGAAAGAAAGACAGAAAGAGCAGCGCTAAGAGGGGAAGAAAGAAAGATAGGTGTAGGAAAAATGACTACTTAGCCCTTGACTGGGGTAGGGAAACGAGCCTCAAGAACAGCCTAAAAAGCCTGAGAGAAAGCCCAAGAAACGACCGAAGGCGTAAGAAGAAAAGCGGGGGGCAGGGAAGTGTATGTACATGTGTGTGTCCGTGTGTGTGTATGAATACTTAGCCCTCTAGAATTACTGATTACTTAGCAGAAATGAATTGCGTGCAATAGCTAGGGAGCGGGACTTTAGTCTTAGACCGCCCGGGTAGGAAAGACTAGAAAAGGAACAACACAGGGAAAGGCACCGACACACAAGTGTGTCGAGTACCATTTCCCTATGTTGCCCTAAATA